AGCAGGCTGTTTTATGACGACTTTTCCTCTGTGCACATCTGACCCGCTGTATTATTATAGGGTAAGTGGGAGGCGGTACCGCGCCTGGCAGTTTTATTTGTACCGAACGAAACTAATATCTAAACGTTTAATTATTTATATTCATGTAACGTAGGACTTTCCTTACGATCATTGAGAAGAAAGTCTATAATTTAATGGTTTTATTTGTGATATAATGTTCCCTCCTGTGATCTAAGGAGATTTAACATGCATGGGGTTAGTGCACCCTTTAAATGAAATCCTAATTTATTGCACTGCACCTATCAGCAAGCTAAGTTATAGAAGTGTAGAAATCATAATGCAGCAGTTTAAACATGTCTCCCATGATCATATATATTATATATAATTGCCACATCCGTTTACTCCGGATGAGATACGGTGCCCTATGTAAATGGCAGGGGGCAAAGTCCCATGCAATCGTACGAGTTTGTTACGCTGAAATGTCGTGTTAATCGCACGTTGCGGGTTTCGTAACGCTTACAGTTCTATGAACTCGAATATTACATATAATTTAAGCAAGAACCGATCATTAAGGTTGGTATACGGGATCTTAATTAAGTATATTTTATTTAGGGCTTAACGAAAATATGTGAACGGGCGCCTAGCAGTAGACACCGACGAACAGAAAGAAAAATATAGGTAGGAAAGAAAAGTGTGGCAATGGGGGTAGAAGTCCGAATTATTCTGACGTTTTATCGACTTTTTTCATATCGATCTGTCGTCGATTAACGTCAGAACTCCGGCCCTCTATAATATGCGGGAAATATGCGACCCGCGTCCGGAGCGCACTTCAAACTGATATTTTAGAAACAAATCGTCACTTTCACACGCATGTCGCACATGGATCGAAAGATCAATTCTTTATGCACAAGATGAACATACATAGCATGCCTCAAACAACATCTTGGGCCACTAAAAACATTTTTTTTTAGTGATTGTATTAGTTGTTTGAGGCATGCTATGTATGTTCATCTTGGGCATAAAGAATTGATCTTTCGATCCATGTGCGACATGTGTGTGAAAGTGACGATTTGTTTCTAAAATATCAGTTTGAAGTGCGCTGCGGGCGCGGGTCGCATATTTCCCGCATATTATAGAGGGCCGGAGTTCTGACGTTAATCGACGACAGACCGATATGAAAAAAGTCGATAAAACGTCAGAATAATTCGGACAATGGGGGTAGCAGACCAATTCTAGTTTCTTCGGTGCACCTTGCGCAGAAGACACCAGAAGAAACCCCCGATTCTACAGGGGGTCCCACATTAGTCGCCTCTTACGAAAAACACGCATTGGGATATAGCAGGTCAATTCTTTCAACGAAACCTCATGGATGGTACACAGGGACCTAGGAATTTGTTACAGCTATATTTGAAGCTAAACTTAGTTAAGGTCCAAATTTGGTTGTAACAAATTCTCAGGTCCCTGTGGCATGCTATAGCTATGTGAATCAAATACTCTCAAACATCTTTTTTTCTGTTTGTAGTTATAGTTGAGTATGATGTTAAATATCTTAGTAAATACTAGTACGACTAGCAAACGATATTTTGATAACGTCATACTTCAACTCGCGGCGAGTTAAATATACAGTACTTACGTCAGATAAATATGTACGGAATTTGACGTGTAATGAACAAAATAAGAGTTCTTATAAAATGTACGTGTTGGTGGACGAAAACACTATGCATGAATGTTAATTAAATTTGTTTGTAATGTTTGGGCACAGTTAATTCGATAATCTGGAAAGAATTCTCAATTTTCCAAATCTGTTCATTCCTTAATTTGTATGTCACTATTTAAACAGAATGTTATACAAGTTACCGGTACCGGTTCAAGCCGGAACAACTCTAAACACACAAAAACAATGATGAGAAAGGGCCATATTTTCTTCAGCAGCAGATAAATTCTATAAACTGCTATTCATCAGTAATCATTTATTATGTTGATATCGATGTCATATCAAACAATTTGTCAGTTGTTTTCCTCTCGATGTTTTTTACTGGGAGGGCGGCCGAACGTGTGGCACAGTCTTGGCACGACAATTGTTCGAGTATAACACGGCGTAGTGTCACCCCCAACACAATACACAACAGCTAGTGAGCTTTAACAAGTATTTAGCCTATCACTTTCACTGTAAATGGAGATTAACACCTAGAATTTAAAGCTGTTCGCTTACAATTTCTATTATCTTAAAGTGAATCTTTCAACTTTTTAAAAAAGTAATAGCCGCGAACGATTGTACCTATTCACTTCCTGCACGTGACCTCACGTGCGAGGCATGCGCGCCGCTGGGACTTCCTGTGTGCTTGCGTGAGAATGGAACAGTTGTTGCTTCTGTCGTACAGATGGTAGGCGGAAGCATCTAGTCCGTTCCCATGGCCCGGAGCAAGCTGGTTGAACCTCAGGTGTTGCCATGGTCTAGCGGAAAAGGTCAGAACTACTGGGCTATTTAGTGACCGTAGAATGAGAACGGGCTGAAACGGTCAGACCTGTCGGGGTTTACTGATTGTAGACCGCTTTATGGCTGAAATAGTCAGAATTTACCATGGACTTTGTTCTGAAATACATGTGTTTAGTGATCGTAGAATTTGTACTTGGCTGGAACGGTCAGACACAAACCGGGATTTAGTCATCGTAGACTGACGTTCATCCTCTATACTCCAGGGGTTACGCTCTCTGCACAGCGCATGTGGGCATCTAACCTCTGGAGTATTGAGGATGACTGGGGACTGAAAAGGCTATATCTACTTTGATAAGTGATAGTTTACTTTTTCTGGCTGGAAAAGGTCAAGACTAACCGCGGTAAAGTGACCGTAGATTGTGACCTGGCTTTAAAAGCATGACCGTCCGGGGTCTGGTTAGACTGGCTACCAGCCCCTAAGTTTTAACGAAGAAGTTCTCAACTGCATTTTACTACTAGCTTATCTCCCCCTAGTTTAGAACTTAGGATCAGACATCCAAGTGATCAAAATTATCCAGTTTATTATTTTTTTATATGATTCAATATTCTGGAGACGAGGGCCAGTCTAAGGTCTGGTGACATGGACCAGGTCGAGCTCAACAGGTCAAACGTGGGATCACGTGACCGGAAACTGCATTTTCTACATACCCGGCATAGTCTATATTCCTTTGACCAGGTGCAGCCTACCGTGGTCTTGAGAATATTTTCTAGCTGACCAAGACATCTTTGCTGGTATTTGATTTGCTAGTGTCTTATCTTAGCCTACCTGATGAGGTCAAGCCTTCTGGGGTCTGATGGTGGAGATGTCGTGCTCCGTAATCAAGCTGACTAATTTATGACTGTACCGTGGTCTTGTGTATGTGGATACCATTGTTCTTTAGTTTTAGCTGACCAAGTCAAGTGTACCGTGATCTACGTTTACAATATTCGAGTATAATCTAGCTGACCCGAGTTCAACCCAACTCTTAATTAAGGCGTCGAATACTAACGACATGCCACATGCGTCAAAGTCCAGATTAATGCATGCGAGGCGTCGAATACCGACCTAATACCACAGTCATCAAAGTCAAGCTTAATATCAGAGGCGTCAAAGCCCAACTCAGTACTAAAGACTACAAAGTCCGACTCTTCAAAATTCTGCAAGCATCAAATAAATAATAAAAACTCGAAGGCTGACTCATATACGTCAAAGACCAAAATAAAACTGTAGGTGTCAACGTCCAACTAAGTACCACACACTTCAAAGTCTGACTCAATACTTCAGGCGTCAAAGTCCTACTTATAATAACACGGGTATCAAAGTTCAACTTAATACTACATTTAATTCTATAAAGTCTGACTCAATACTTCAGGCGTCAAAGTCCTACTTATAATAACACGGGTATCAAAGTTCAACTTAATACTACATTTAATTCTACAAAGTCCGACTCAACACTAGAGGCGTCAAAATCCTACTTAATTCTATAAGCGTCAAAGTCCGACACAATGCTAGAGGCGTCGAATTCCAAGTCAACAAAAAAGGCATTAAATGCAAACCTAATACTACATGCGTCAAAGTTCAATTTTACATAATAAGCGTCAAATTATCAGACTAAATATCAAATTTATCAGAGTCCGAATTATACCTCAACGCGTCAAAGTCCTGACTAAATACTACAGACGTCAAATTCAAACTTGATACCATATGTGTCAAAGTCCGACTGGATACTAAAGGCGTCAAATTCAAACTTGATACCATGTGTCAAAGTCCGACTGGATACTAAAGGCGTCAAATTCAAACGTGATTCCATATGTGTCAAAGTCCGGCTGGATACTAAAGGCGTCAAATTCAAACTTGATACCATATGTGTCAAAGTCCGACTGGATAATACAGGCGTCAAAATCCGAATTACTAGTACTAGAAGCGTCTGTCTGAATGAATACAATATCCGTTTAAGTCCGACTCGTTTCTTCGAGTTACACGTTTGAGACTGGTCAAGTCTTCCGAAGTCTGATGGCGGACTATACAACTTATAATCTCGCTGACCAGGGTTCAAAACCAAATTCAATACTACGTCAAAGTCCAACTTTATACAATGGCCGGTGAAGTTTGACTCAATACCAAAGGCGCTCAAGTCTGACTTAATGCTGTAGGCGTCACAGTCTCGGACTTGCGTCAGTTGGCGTCGAAGTCGGACGTGTTGCTTCAACTAACCAGTTTAAACCCAACATTCTATTACTTTTTAAATAGTGCTTAATACCGAGACAATTTAAAAGAGTCACATATCAAGTTCGTGATTATAAAATATCTCGGAACTAAATTTTGTGAAATTCAATTTTGCTTGTATAGCAAATCGAACGTTATGAAGATTTCAAAAAAAAATCATTTGTTCTAGTTGCTTACGCTGAAATGTCCATCATCGGGTATTAAAACATTCCCAAAGCTTAAAAACGACACTGAATTAAACCCGCGTCACATTTTCAATCAGCTAAAATAACACTCAACCAACACATGAATAAAGTTTTGATAATTTTTATTTGTAGGTTTTTTCGCTCTCGCTTTTTTTAATGATTTATACATTTTAAATAAATATTACGAATACATTTGTACGTATAAAGTAAGCGCTTGGCACTATAACTGGAATGCTGGTCACATGTAAATCTCTATTTCTTCTCTTTTACATCTCTTAACCAACTTCAAAGGACGTCAAGAGTTCAGCACGCGACATTTAATGTCAAAGTCAACACGCGACAGTTGGGACTAGTTCATGATTAAAAGTCTTTGGTATTTATAATACTCAAAGTATCTTTTATTTCAAATCACAAAGGAACAAACATTTCTGCTGTATTAAAATTTTCCCACTTTCTCCGTTCTATTATTTTCTTCGAAATTCATCGGAAAAACTGACACATTGATGTATTCAAATCCATCAAGTCACATGACACTTTTAACGTTTCACGCGAGATTTGTGGAATCACACGACAAAAAGTCACTTCTCTTCTTTAACACCGATATTCAGTTGCTGTGACCTCACGATACGTCATCAGTGGCTGGAAAGGTATCTGGTAAACTTGGAATTAATGTAACGTCTTTCTTGGGACCAGAACGAGGCCAGTGTTGCGTGCTGGGAATGTCAAATCTGAAAATACAAAAATTAAAGAAATATAAGAGTATGCTCTTGCACTAAACCCATTCAGTAAAAGTTGAGGCATAAATTGTTCAGATTTAATAGAAAATACTTTTACATTAATAGGCTATACCAATTCTAATTGTTTTAGGACAACCTTTAGATTGTGTAATAATTGCTTTTTTTTCTTTTGATATTATTCATAACTTTTAAAAGAAACTCACCTTTTCAACTTTGACGGCAAGTCTTCAACGAAATTGTTTACAGAAGTGTCAATTTCAGGTTCATTCCAGCTAATAGCTGTCGTTGTTGACGTCATTTCCAATCGTTGCAATACATTAAATTGAGCAGTTATGGCGGTGTCACATCCGGTCGACGTATTATAAAAAAGCAAATTTTTCAATAGATTGTCTCTCATGTTGGTGATGTCAGTTTCGATCGTTGTAATGGCGACAAGTCTGACAGTAGATCGGTTTGCTGACGTCACTTCCGGTCGTTGTAATGAATGAACACAATGGTGGGTTTAAGAAGCAGTCCAATATATCACAAATCTCGTGTTATATGTTTGAGGAGTTTATATAGTGTATATCACAGATTTAACATGGCTATCACATCAGAGTTGGACGGGCGCTTGAAACCAATCTGAAAGAACAAGAAGACATTCTGTTAAAAAACCCGGAAGCATCTTTGACGTCATCATGTCAATTCGATTGAAACTTATGAAAATTACAAAAAAATAAATTAAAAAAATCGTGTTTGGCAACAAAGCTTACCTATAAAGACTTTGGCCCTCTTCGTTGTAACAAGAAGGTTGGCACTTTTTGTTGCTTTTCAAAACAGCTTGCACTTTCGTCTTTCTTGAAAAACGTCTGTGGCATCATGTTGTGGACAAACTCTTTGACATTTGCTTCGTTGATCACACCATCTTGAAGTCCTGTCAAAAGATAAAAAAAAATATACTATTAACAAGCTGCAGGTAAACAAGACCCAGGTAAATACAGTCGTAGTGTCACCAGAACGGCTGATAGGAAACTCGGATATAAACGTCATTTTGCTGATAGCATAGACGGATTTGTCCACTTATCAGATATCAAATGATGAGAAAAAAGATAAATATCCGTTCCCACCAAGTAAGGAATTCTCATTAAAACTTTTAACGTTAAATATCTGGCAGATGTTTTCTTTACGGCTTGGCGGCGAATAAGTTCATCCCGACCGGTAAGTATGTACTTTGTAACTGTGTATTAACGCATAGATATATAAAGTACATATATATAATTAGATTGGAACAGCTGTTGCCTCTAAAGGAATTCCGGAAATTCCTACACCCCCAGGTGAAAATTTGATATTTAAATAAATAATTTATACATTTTCCCCTAGATTTAATTCAAATACACTTAAACAATTAAGTCTTTATTTTCTTAGTTAACCGTTCCAGATGCAGTAAGTTGACGAAACAAAAGCAGCCTTGTCTAAATTTAAAGCGGGCCCATATAGAGTTAACTGTTAAAGCGACTCGGATGACTCATACGAAATCTTAAAACTTGTCGCTACACCTGAAAATGACACCTGATATTTTTACCTATCAAACCGCTCAGGTAGATCGGCGTGCATGCATATACCTGTATACGTATCGTACTGACAACATACATATTCTGTACCATCTGTTTTCAAATCAGCACCATCTGTCGTTTCGAGACAAATTTAGAATACACAAAATATCGTGGGAAAGAGGCGAGTTCTCGAACATTTAAACATGATTGTCAACAATGAGATCGAGGGAACATTTCCCCGATGCCCAGTGATTAGTTTGATAGCGCGATTTTAATGGGGGGTTGTATATTTCCTGTCCCAGTTGATTTTCGCACCTGTCCGATTAATATATCAAAATTTAATGTACCGACCTAACTTGAGTCCCCTCTCATCACCCCCTCCTCTCCCCCAGAACAATTGACAAATATTTACCTTTGCTGTTCAATCGCTCGATAAGAGCTCGATGGAGTTCGTCAATGTACTTGACCGCTTCTTCAATCACAGTTACCTGAAAAAGAACGAAAACACGTTATTTTAATTGTGATGAATGACACTTGATGTGAGAAAATATGTTTTATTGCAAATAAAATAATCAAATTTATAGTCAACACAAAAATCAATATTTAGCATGCATCTTAAAAGTTTGCCAAACACATCAGGATCTACGCATAGTTTTAGTAATATAAGGGTCTGAAAACATATTTGTTACGCTCGGATATGGATAACATTATAAAGTTTTTGCGACAGAAACCTTAAACATTTTTTTTTTTTTTATTATTATTGTGTCGACATGAAGCTACAAGTTGTAGAACGTTGATAACAAAACTTTTTTTTTTTTCTTTTCATTTTTTCATTTTTTTTATTTTTAATTTAGCATGCTTAATTAACCGGTTCGATATATAAAGGGTTTGTGGTTTTTTTTAAACTTTTTTTTTTTATGTGGTGTTGAAATTGATGGAATCGATTCAAATCTAGCACGTTCCGTTTTTGCTGTACTGTGTTGTTGCTGTGATAGAAAGTGTACCGCTGAATTAGCTATAAAATCCTAACAGTTTGATCCCGTGTATATATATATTCTACACAGTCTTCATTGTCCTATATTTATTTAGACCTTCCGTGTTTGAAATGCGACCGAGCGAGGGTGAGTCACCGGAAATTTATTATTATAGGGGATGAATACCCGTCATTTCGTCCTAATCTACAACCGAAGACCGTTATTTTCACCTGCTGGGTACTCAGTGCGCGCTCAGGTAGTAAGGTAATACACAGGTGCATCAATATTACTTTAAAACTAACTAAAATCTTTGTATCACATGTCCTCGAGGTGTTAAGTATTTCGAGTGGCAAGAAAATAATTATCTCGGTTTTAATAAAAAAAAAAAATCTAAAATGTTTATGTTTAAGTGGCGTAGACAAATATCCGAACTAAATGACACAGGGAACCGGTATTGCAGCATATTAAAAGTCACACCTGGGCCATTTGACAGTCATGATTAAGTAATATAGGGGCGTCTTATGACAATTTCATATCATCACCGGATGACCATATGGTTGGTTTCATTAGGATACACAACCGGGCAGTAATATACTGATCTTCATTAACAGCTGTTGTATATCATATTTACAACACGCAACAACACATCCTTGTACACAAGATTGCACGTGGATGTCTCGTGCTCACATTAGGTCTGGTACGTCGGAAATGAAACACTTGTTTGCCCATGGTGACTTAAGTATTTATAACTAATGAAAACGTATTTGCCTTGCATACATCATTAAAACATTAAAATTAACCATCACTACCCCAACACCACTCCCAGCTGAACTTAATCTCCTTCACAAATATCCAAACTTGCTTGTTGATGAAATTTGACATAGTTTAGGACAAACCGTCGCTAATGACAGATCCTAATTGTTGATCCATTAAAAATTACCACTAATGATATCAGATCCGATTTAGTGATCAATTAAAAATCAATGAATCGACACTTTTGAATAACAGATGTATTGGCAACCGGATGACACGGCCACGCGACACTTGCTCGATACAGCTCTCGGCTGACACATTTCAAATGTAACGATTTTATTGAAATTCTAGATATGTCATCCTTTTCCCAATACCATATGCCCCCACGAGATGACACTATACCGGTCAGCTGGCCAGTCGAGCCCCGGACGCTTGCTAGCCCTGATGCCAGATGTCAGGTATTTTACAGCACATGGTGGTATGGGTCAGTGACAGTGGCTATGACACCGGCTGTATAAATACCGGCTATATCGTGCGACCTAAACCTGCCACCCGACTCAAATACAGATAAGTCGTTAGTGCAACCTGTTACGGTATTGTAATAAAAGGAAACTTATTGGAAATTGTCAATTCCGCTTCACGTGCCAGAAGCGATGTACCCCCTGTCACGAGGCTGACACTTCCATGTAACATATGTTTCTCGTAAACACCTCCCACATCACATTTCAATCGTCACCTTTGAATGTCACATTTCAATTGCCACATTTCAATCGACAAGTCATTATATTATCATTTTTTTTTTTTATCTCGAACAAAACAAACCATATTTATTCAAATTTTTATTACTTGCTTACTTATTTACAAGAGTGAAGTTTTTTTATGAAAGTATATTTTTTACATACGTCTACTTGCTAATTTGGAAACGATAATCTTTATTTGATTTTTTTTTATATCTATTAAAAAATGACGGATCAATTAGACAATTTAATGAACCGAAACGCATTAACACCTTAATATTTCATTTCATGCGTATTAAATCACTTCCACTCTGAGAGCACTTGACCAAGTATTCAATATGTTTTTTAACTCTCATTCCGTATGTGTTGGCAAAATTTTAACATACTACAAATAATCATTGTAAAATACATTTCCAAAAATGCAAAATACCTTAATTTTAACCTAGTTTTGCATAAAACTAATAAGGAAAAAATAACAATTGAATTTGCCTACCTTTGAAACTTTGTTTTTGCTTGCGATGGAAGGTACCATGTCTCGGAGTCTGGCATACTCTCGGTCTCTCACACGCTTGAGATGAAGCTTGAGATGCTTACGGGCAATGGTCTGGGTTGATGAGCGCTTGCTCTTCTTGATACTGTTAAATTGTACCATCTGTATAGAAATAAAAAGTTTTTGACATTTTAATTAAAAAACTGATTCACATTTCATCAATAATTTTAATTGATATTACAATATTTATATTTTCATATAACTGTCACAGGTGGAATAACTTCTATGAATCTTATAATATTATACACATGGTGATTATTATGGATCAGACAGCTAATGAATGTTGAATTATGTAGTATAAATATATATTTTTGCTATCTATAACTATTAAAAAATATGAAACGAACTAATAATTTCAGGAAAATGTAAATGAACATAACAAGTTCTATAAAAAATCAAAATAGTTAAATTTAATAGAAGGAAAAAATGCAAAATTTTCTCAAATAGCTCACCTTCATTTTTCTGTTATGTACGATAAATATACAACACACGTGGAATGACAGTTATTCGTAAACAGGTAAATTTCCAAACAGCTGTGTAAGTTAGTCCAGTACAGAGGTAATAACTCGTTTGAGAAAACCGCGTGTGACAGTCAATATATAGCCAAGGCAGAGTAGTGATCAGTCGGTGACACTCCGCGCGCAGGAAATAGTACTCAAATCAAATCAAATTAAAACAAACAAAGACTCGGGAGAACTCAAAACGAACACAACACCACTCGATATGAATGTAATCTGCGTATTTGTTTGTAATAATTAAATAAAAAAATATCTTAAATCAATTTGGGGAGACATTTGTTGAAACAGATGTGAAAATAGTCCCGCAGGTAGAAGCAGACGGCCCGGTATCGTGGGAAAACAGAGTATTTGTCGTGTAATTACCCGCGCTTGACAAAAGGTGCTCTACCTGACTGGGGCGTTACTGACTAAACCAAATGTTACTATCACCAGATTACTCACGCTAAAAATCAGTGTCACCACTTGTATAATGTACTTGTCGCCTCATGTCAACAGTTCCTGTGAAAGTAATACCACAGGGTGTGCATGTCTGCTATCTGTTGTGGCGTGTCATCGCAGAACCTGATGATGCCGGGATATGTGACACACCATAAACCTGTTGTCATTTTGAAATGCATATCATTTTTCCCCCCGATGTCTATATATAATATTTGTATTGTCTACCTGGTATGTGTCCCGGTCCAAAGTCCGCAAAGAGAAAGAAAATGATTCCCGGGACGGACACGAAAATTCCAGTACTCTTATGTTTTGTCACGTAATTGTAATTGAATATTGTGGCTTAGGATTAAATCAAAGAATAATCGTTGTAGCTATCTCGTTCATATACTTTTCCTTATTGAAAATCAAAATCAATTCGGTAGGGGGTTCCTGACCTCACCAAAGGACCGTCCGCCTCTGGTAATCGGTACGCAAATCATCTCGATTCTAAATATATCAAAAATGATATCTTTAGTGAGATACAAGAGATTAATATCAATTAGAAAGACGTAAATGTAGTTCGAAAAATGCTAAAAACATTAATAGCATGTTCACAGGCGATCATTCTCCTTTAGGAAATACATTTGTGATTATCTGCAATTGCAGAGAGACTGTTTTCGTGAGGAGTAGATTTTAAATGAGCAATACCTGTCGGTACGTTCCTCATTAGGAAAACAATAGGGGGCTTTGGGGAAAAAATATAGTAGTTCATTAAGCAACAAATTCCTGATGAAAGAAATTTCAAAATTTTTCTTTCAACTCGGCATGATTTTTTTTTTTTTTATGTTCAACACGTCGTGCAGAACGAAATAGTACAGAGGCCAGCAAAGTCGGTCGACAAGTTAGAAGGAGAAGAATGTGCATACGGAGAAAAACCTTCCTATTATCCTGGCATGTTAAACTATAGTGCGTCAATTTATTTATTTGAATACTACACTTTACAAGGAAGGGAAAAAAGGATGTTAAGTCGAGTAAACAGGTCTTTCAAAGAACTAGACCGGGAAACGATACAGAGATTAAAAATACTAGCGAGAGGTCGGACAAGACGAAATAATGCAACGTATTTACGCAATATCCCAATGGTTTTGACAGGGCAATGCTCTTGTCTTTCGTCAAATAAGAAAATACGAAATGATATATCGTTATCTATATATATATTTATGAAATATGATTAATTTTGAATCAATCTTCATAGTCAATAGATATGTTTTGGTTAGTGCCTTCGGCATGGTATTTCAATAAGATAACACTATAAAGTAGGCATCCGAATCACGCTATCGCAAGGATGCAAGTACCCCAACGTACCCTATCTCCAGCACACATACACACAGGCATGACATACATGGAGCCACGCCCTTAAATGACCTAAGCTGTTGATAAGACGTTAAACCATATAAATCCAAACCAATCTACGGTCACTTTGTGATTTTGAGTTTTGGACATCGTCAGATAATGTCGAATTCGTGTTCCGCCGCGCGTTTTTATACAATAATTAAACCCGTTCCTCTAGAATCTATTTCTCAGAGATGGATTCAATAATATAGACTGAAAATTTAAAACGAAATTCTAGTGGATAAGGCAATTTGGAAAAAAATGTACAGGGTTCTTGGGAAAGTTACTGGCGTATATTTCAGCAAGTAAAGCTTTTTTTTTGTGAAATACATTTATAATTAATTGTGCAACAAATACAAGAAAGCATTAATTATTTTCTTATGGGTCGATTTATGGGGGTTCGTTATCTTCTTTTCTTATATTTCATGAAACCATCATAATACAAATTCTTGTGTGTAGTTATCGGTCAATTTCCGGAATTTTCGTCACGTCAATGATGTCCCAAACTGTTATAATGACAGAAGTACCGTTGTGGAAGAAAAAAGAAACCCGCTTCCATATTTAATGTTCACGGCACCATGACGAAATTGACAGATTCTCGCTGATCAGTCCGACAAAGTCACCGGTAACTGTCCAAGCTCGGTCACCTGGATTAACTTAGTAAGTAGTCCATCAACCAGACAATGAGTTTCCTTCTCAGTTGACCAGTCAAATCATTTACCTAATTTTTTCGAATGAGCTGTTCGCGTATGTCTGTGTGTGTTTCTACTTCTCCGACTCATTTACCGTGAACAGTGGGACATTCATCATTGATGAAGTCCCCACTTAACTCTTTACGTAATGGCATATCGCTTAGTTACCTACATCGCTTTGAAGATGGCCGACTCAATTACTGGGGTGGTATGTAGGGGTATCGCGTCCCAAAAGTACTGTTAGCACACCGGTACCCCGGCCCATGTCTGCCAAACTGTGACAAGTTAACTGTTTATGACCATCTTAAGGCAGTGAAAGAAGGAACTCAAGACTAGGAAATATTAAAAACGTTGATAGAAAGAACAACTAATGCTGATGATGGGGGAGGGCTGTCATGATGCAATATGATGAAATAATCAAGAAATATGCTGAATAAATTGAGAAACTAATAATTAAGACAGGCCACTACGGTGTAATAAAACGGCCTGTGCAGAATAAGTCAAAAGACACAGTTAAATTCGCTAAATGATTAAATGACGGGTTTTTCGCCTACATGAATCCGCCCTTACGGGTCCGGACGACAAAGACATGACTTATTATAGTACAGCGCTGACACAATTTCGATGCCTATTTAGCTGAGTCAGGGCCGTTTTCGTTTATCGCGGTCCAAACGGCTGAACCGGTTGGACCGGAGTTGTTTGTTATCAAATAAGGTCGGATCTAGAAATCTGATGCTGCTTACAGGCGAGCCTTGACAAAGCCTTACAAGACATGCATAAACATTTGCAGGTCCGCTGGTATTGAGTTCCCAAATGTTTCATTTAAAGACAGACAAACCATTTGTTCCACATAAACTAACGGGCATGCTTCCATTTTTGTTCAGTAGAGAAACTTCGGAATGGTTTTAGACATTTATCAAATTACCTTCTTATACCCTAAAGCTAACCATACATTATAAAATCGATTAAGGAAAGGCCACAGAGGTGTTTCACCTTGATCCTTATCACAGCAGTGTGTATACTACACACAATACCGAGTTATATAAGTGTTTACACTTATAAATCGTCTTATCTCGGAAATGGAAAGAAAACCAAGGGGACTTAACTCTGTAATCTTCTACCGCCAAACACAAAAGAGTGCATTTTACGGTGGTAATCATGCATAAACCAATTTGTCGTGGAGGCGATAAGGGTAATGGTGATTAGGTAGTCTTTTGAAGGGAACCACAAGGTTTACAGATGAAAGGGCCGCGATCTGCCCTTCCACACCCCGAACAATGAGCCGGACACCCGTCTTATGGACGACTGTGATAAGGTGATATGACTCATGGCCCGGGGGTACAGGGCGGACTTTCCCGGCCACTCCACCTCGCCTCGCCTGTTGATGTACACCTATTACATGTGATTTGCATTGTTCGAAGAATTCATTTGCAGGTGTAACACACGCAAAAACAAATTTTGTAAACAAGGATGTTTTTGACAAAACAATGATCGTAATTGCGCTAAAAAAATAATGGCGACAAAGAATTCACTCTTATTATTATAAATGTTCTCATGGCAAATTATTTTGATAAGCTATGTAAGACTATTTCAAATATGGAACAATTGCCTTTCAAAAGGGGTTCTCAGTTTGGCTTAGAAATCACTCTGATATAGCATATCTTCCAATGTGATTTACAGCGAAAACAGGAAGTGCATTAACACGTTATTTTTTTCATTGTTCTAAACCTGACTAACTGTCTGTAGTTCAACAATTCAGAATCTCACGAAAGTCATAACATTAAAATTTGGTTCTAAGGTCTACTTTTTGATTATCGAACATAATGTTTAAAAAAAAATCAGTTTCAGATAAGTTCGCTAAATGTCATTGTGTTCGATATTATTAGGGGTGGTGGGTGTGGTGGGTGTATCACAATACTCATGGACTTTATCAAGATATATTGCAATGCACAAGTAATGTATCGCGATACGTATCCCGATATATTGTCATAGGAAAAAGATGTTCAAATTAAAAGATAAAATGTTGAAAGAATGATATCAGACCGAATCATATATCATATGGATCACAAAGGTTTTCAGATTTTCGTTACACAAACATACAATTATGAAATTTAAACTGATTCCCATCACTAGTACTGAATAGCCTTTGTATAGTTATTGGCATATCTGTTATCAATATCTAGCATAATGCATGAAACTAGTCTTTAAAAAAGATTGCAGTACAACACCATTTCATTTGTGTATTGCGATACGATGCGATATGCATGTATTGCGATACGATACGATACACATGTGTATTGCGATATACCGGTTTTCCAATATATCGTGACTGCTCTAAATTCTACTATGATCAACATACCAGAGTTTCTCGGTTCTCTGGAATGAAATAGACACCAGTTTGACTAAAAAACCCATTTGTGACCCTTTGTTATAGGTAACAGAAGAGGTGAAGGCTGGCCATTGTTAAAAGGTGACAAGACCGAGTTTGTAATAAGATGTTTCTTTTAAAGTCTGTTTTGTGGAATGTTCAGTTCACCATTCAGTAGTTTACCGTTAAAGACAGGAATTCC